GCAAATTACACACATGACTATTCGAAACATGGCGGGTAGGAGGCTGTACTGATGATTCCCACTCCTGCCCGCATGCACTGTTCGGTCTGTGTATACAACTAGGGGATGAAACACAGACTGCGTCATAAAATGTCTTCAAACAAATGACATTCAAGTGAAATTCTTCTATTCTATTTTACAATAGGTAGAACTCGACGAATGTTTTCGCGCACTAAGACGTGATTTTAGTATGGAAAATGTTGATTCTTAGTTGTTGGCCTTACGGTATTGTGGAGCTACGGGATTCGACATTTGGAGTGTCCCGCATTTTTTTGCAAAGTAAAGGGGGCAGTACGGGCCTCAAAGGCCCTGTGAGGTAATGGAAGAGGGTGGTAACCAGGGCCAAGAACAGCGGCCCATTCAGCGAAGGGTAGCGACCGGCGGGGTCGCACCATCCTTCCATGCAATAGGAATAACCGAGGGATAGGACGGTGGCCGTCCGGAATATTTACAAAAACAGAGTGGCATGTAAAAAAGTCATGTAAAAAGCTGTATGTAAAAAAAGCTTGCCTATGTTTCATCCCTAAGCTGTAAACACAGACAGCAGGAGGCGTGGTAGGGATGGGAATCATCAGTACAGCCCCCTAACTACCATGTTACAGAGAAAATAGCGTGACAGAGGAAAGAAGTAGGATAAAAAACATGCAAAAGGGAAATGGAAAAAGAAAGTCTTAAGCTAACATGGAGCACGAAATTCTCAGATTTGCTTCGCTTGGACACTGGTTCTCCTTGCGTTGTCATACTAGAAATGATTACATAAGTGGGAAATAATAAGATGTTATACTGAATTAGCGTCGGGAAGCATCATATCGCAAATTATGTTAGATTACGTTAATCTCGTCATATCGCAAATTACGCAAACTTTGAGAGCGCTGTTCTTGTGTTAAAGGTCAAGATTCGACTAGGCTTTTAGGACTGACAGCCCCCATATTTTCGGTTGTAATTTGATAGATGCGCATGCCGGGGAGTCAAACACGCTATGCTCTTACTTCCAAGCACCTTCGGGAGAGGGTACTGTTGACTACTTTATCAGCGAGTAGTTTTTTTTCTGGGACAGGTTGCTAACTGAGTTCCTGCGCCTGTTTTATGAGAAGTATATGAGGAGGAGGTTTGGATGCGCCGACGGTTGTTTCGTTGTCACACATCTTCAGGTCATGTTCTGGCTTACGATTTCTCCATTCTCCTTTATTTCGGGTCCATCTTTAATCTTTGCACAGTCATTTATATCATTCATTTGCAAGGCTTACCGGTTTCAGTACTGAGAATATTTTCCGCTTCTGCGAGCATCCCTTCTATGTTTTTGCTGAGTGTTTGATGCACCTGGTGTTTGACAGCATCACCATTATATCCTTAGGGCACCCACGCCGATTTTCTGAATAGTTTTACTAATTTTTTTGTTTTGCTTTTATACGCCTCTATTTTTCAAATAGATTCAACAAATTTTCTGTTTCATCAGGTAATTTGATTATATATTTGACGGCAAAAAGTTTTATCATTTTTTTGAGAAATGTTGAGCTTGTGAAAGAAAAATTTACAGGTGGAGTCATTGTTTGACTCACTGACCAACTATTTTGGTCCAAGCGAA